AGTGATGCTATTTTGTACTCAACTGCAACTGGTGTACTCGGTCTCCTGCACCGCTGACACCTAGAGAAACCCAACAACCCCACTTGCAAGGTTCCTCCCACCCCTATTGCGTTTCTTTGCAAAAACAGGACCCAAGAAAAACCAGCACCAGGGAGCAAGTGTCCAAGTCAAACCCAGGCCAAGTGGGAAAAGCAAATCCTGCCTTGGCCTCCCCTCCAGGAGGCAAAAAATGAGCCTCCCTCAAGAGCTGCTCATGGGCTGAGTGACCTCCAGGCACCGCAGCGTGTCCTCCAGCAAACAGAGCAGCGAGGCGGCGAGGGGCTCCAGGCCAGCTCGTACACTCAGCGCTTTCCAGCAGCTTTTATGTAAAGAGCCCGAGTTCATTAAACCGCTGGCCTGTGCGTTATTGCCAAGGCTATAGCACTGGCCCGGCACAATCCCCCAGCAGCTCACGGGTGCCTGCTGCCTCCAGCTTGCTGCTCGGCCCCGCCGGTCCCAGCGAGAGGCTTTCCCCGAGCCGGACGCTGCACTGCTCGAGTGGGGACAAGCACCGCGCCAGCACAGATGCCAGCAGGGACCTCTGAAGCAAAAACACCCATCACCAACCTGCGGATGCTCCAGCGGGAAGGCTAAGCCCTCTGCACCCTGGATGCTGATCCAGAAGGGGCAAGAGGGAAATTAAGGATGAGGCCAGGGCCTGAAGTAAGTGTGTTAGATTCCAAAGCCGACATCTGGGTTATTTCAGGGCCTGCCTCCTCTCTCATACAATGTACACCCTTAAAAAACCCAAAAAACCCAGCGTGTAATACAGGCAACAGCTGATGCTACAGAGGACGAGCTGCCCCCTCACTTATTTCAATGCAAAGGCGTGTGGGTGAGAAGTGCGGAATCACTCTTAGATGCTTAAAGAGCAATCCAAGCCTCGATAGTTTCATAAACCTCCTCTCCCCTTCCCCCCACATGTCCTCAAAGAGCACAGCTCGTTGTTTTTTCAAGTTACTGCTCAGCATGTGGGAAGGGAGAGCGTGAGGCGGGTGGTTTTTCAGGCCGAGCCTGCCTCCTGCACCGTCCCCCCAGGTGCCAGCACTGCTGTGGCCTGGCTGGAGCATGACCCGCTTGCCAGGGACAGGCAAGATGGGGACACATTGGCTGCACAGCCTTGGGGACACCTGGGATCCTCTCTCCACCCGAGCCGATGCTATCAGGCTGGCTGAGCCCTCTGCAAGAGGGCTGGGATGGTGCCAGCAGGACCCTGGCATCGCCCTCTGCCCCCAGGCACAGCCTGGCTGCCAGCTCCCCCCCAGCAGGGACACGCTGCTCCCCCTCACTTCGTTGCTTTTTTTTAATGCACAGGTTCAAAAAGGAGACCTAACAGCATTGCCATAAGGGGAGGGAAACGCAGGAACAGAAGAGTCCTCCAAGGCAGACACAAACTCCGGCCCTTCCTCCATTCATTTTCCATTTGTGCTGCTGGGAGGTGACATCCCCCTTTGCAGGTAAGATGCTCTTGCAGCACGGCAGAAAGGCAGCCCCTCCACCTGGTGCACAGGGCCTCCCACGGCCCTGCCCGCCCGCCTGCTGTTTGCTTTTCAGGGCGTGAGAAGGAAGGGTGGACACAGCAGCTCTCACCTGAAGGAATAGGCATGTACTCACCCCGGGGGGGTTCTGCATGTTTTTACGCACGTGGCAGGACCATCCTGTACACCACCGTGGTATTC